TTTTATTTAATTTAATTCAATTATGATTAATATATTAATATTTTTAAATTTAAATTTTAATATATTATTATAAATATAAATGCAATCTGACCTGTAAGAAAATATAAAAAAAATGAAAAACCAAAAAATTATGAAGAACATTAATTAATTTACTACACAACATTCTAATAAATTGAAAAACTTGCAATAGAAAACTGCCTTTCTAATTTTGAAGTTTATACTATATAAGAATTTTTCCCAATAAATAAAATTACAAGATATAATTGTGCTCTATTTAAAAATATAATGAAATAAATATATATATAATTAGAAAAACAATTAAAAGTATTTTTTTTATAAATAATATATATTATATACAAAATTAAAATAAAAACAATAAAGAAAGAATTCGAAAAATTAAATGAAAAGTATCAAATAAAAGATTATTTAGTTGAAATATAAAAAATAAAGCAATATTATTAAATTTTAAAGGAATTAAATATTAATGAAAATATTTTAGAAGAAGATGAAAATTAATTCTTATTTGAAATTTTATTAGATTAATTAAAATTACTTAAAAATTAATAAAATTGAATTTGTACTATAAATACTTTCACAATTATATTAATTTATTTTTTTGTTATATTATTTTTTTATTTTTAATTTTTTCTTTTTATAAATTTTCTTATTTATAAATAAAACTATAAAAAATACCAATAAGCATAACATTTTTACTAAATTATATTCCTTAATTTTTTTTTTTTTTCATATATTTTATCATATTCAAAGCTTTTAATTATTAAAAATATTTTTTTCAGTATTTCTTGTTTTTTTATTTTATTGTATTTTAAACATGTATTATTGATTTTTTTTTAGATTCTCATGTTTAATGTTATATATATATATTATATGTTTCTTATTTATCTAAATAAAAAATCTTTTTTTTTAATTTATTTTTGTTTTTCAAAAATTATTTATTAGGTATTTAGAAAAATTAAAAAATAATTTTTTCTATTTAAAAAATTCCATTCAACTTTAAGAAAGAATTTTTATATTCTTATAAGAAAAAATTAAAAAAAAAATTATGCGAATAATCTAATTTCGGCTTATTAATCAAAAAAATAAATTTATATTTAAAATTTTTATCCTATTATGATATTTAATTAAAGTTTTTTGAAAATGAATAATCTGAAATAATATTTTAATTTTATTCAAAATATTGCTATGCATGAGTTTTATATGTATTTTTTTAAATTTAGGAAATAGGAATTTTAGATGATTTTATACAAAAATAAATTTTGAATATAATAAAATTATTTTCTAGTATAATTATATATATTTATATTTATAATTTTTATTTTAAGATATTTTAAAAAAATTAAAAAAAAACTAAAATTTTATATAAATATTTAAATAAACATTTCATTTATAAATATAGAATCTGACAATTAATAAATCTTTTTTTTAAAAAAAATAAAATAAAAATAATATTCATATATATATTTATTTTTGATAAATATAGAAAATGTATAATTAGTTTTAATATATTAAGTAATTTATCTTAAAAAATAATTAAAATATATTTTTTTAAATATAAAACTCATTAAAATATAATTATAAAAATTGTATATAATAGCAATTAATATGTATTATAAAAATATATAATTTATATTTAAGAATAAAATTATTATTTATCTTATATTAAAATAATATTAAAAAAAAAAACTTATTTTATTAAATTATATATAAATTATATTTAAAAAAATAAAAAATTTTAATTATAATATAAATAAAAAAATAAAATAAGAAACATACTGTAATATTAAATATTTAATTTTAATTTACGGATTATTAAAATTATTTTATTATTAATATAATTTAATAATAGTAAAAATAGTAAGTTTTATTATATATTTTACATTTATTAATACAATAAATATATAATATATATATGTATATATATATAATATTTATTATATTTTTCAACCTATTTTTTTTTATTTTCTGTGAAAAATATATATCTTATTTTTAAGAAATTCATAAAATCATATCAATTAAATATATTTTTTATTTAAAAATAATATATTTAATACATACATAATATATAATATTAAAATTAATTTTATTAAATTTTTATTTAATTTACTAAATTTTATATAATTTCATTTAATATTATTTCTCTTAAACATACTATAAATTATAAATAATCTATATGCTTTTAATTTTCTTTTAATTAAATCTATTTTTCTATTTATTTTTATTTTATTAATTATAATTAATTTAATTTGTTTTTTGTTTTTTTTTAATAATATAAAGATTATTAAATCAACTTAAAAAATTTAAATAAAATATTAAAATTATAAAGGTATTATATGAATAATATTTTTAATTGTTATTTCTATTTTTATTATAGGTGTGTATGTTAATATTTTTTATATTTTTTTAAAAAAAATATATTGAACTGAGCTTAATTAATTTAAATTTACTGTATATATATTTTATATAATAAAAATTTAATTTACATATTTTTTAGAAGTAACAAAAAATTAAAATTAAATAAATTAGAAAAATTAAAATAATAAAAAAATAAATAAGACTATGTAAACAAAGGAATTATAAATCGGTCAAATATTCGAATAAAACTATAAGTTATTAAAAAAAATTGGATAAGGTTCTTTTGGAGAAGTATATTTATGTTAAAATACCTAAAATATGTAATAGTATGCTATAAAGCTTGAAAAAGTGTGTATTAAACTACATTTATTATATAGAGAAATATAAATAGTAAACGATTTAAGTAAAAATGATTTATTTCCAAAAATTATATCTTTTGGGAATTAAGATGGGTATAATTATTTAATAATGACTTTATATTCAATAAATTTAATGAAATTATATAAATTAAAGAAGTCTTTATTTACTTTATAGTTTATAATTAATATTTCTAAATAGATTATTAATATATTGAAATGTATGCATTAATTGGGATATATACATAGAGATATTAAACCTGAAAATTTTGTTTTTGAAGAGGATTAATAAAAAATACATTTAATAGACTTCGGTTTGGCTAAAAAATATATGTTAAACATAATTTTTTTTTTTTTGTTAAGCTTTATAAAAAATATAAATAGAGACGAAAAATAATTGCATATTAAATAAAAATAAAAGTATGATCTAATAGGAACGGCTTAATTTGCTAGTATAAATTCTCATTTAGGAATAGAATAATCAAGAAGAGATGATTTGGAGAGTGTAGGTTATTTATTGATTTATATAATGAGGGGAAATTTACCTTGGTAGAACATATATTCATAATGTAGGATTTAAAAACATATAGAAATATAAAATTACAAATAATCAATTAGTGTTTAGTAATTATGTGAGGGGTGTCCGATTGAAATTTAAGATTTTTTAAACTAAATAAAAAATTTGGAATATGAGGAAGAACCGAAATATGATTATTATATAAATCTATTAAATTAAGTAAATTTTTAAAAAGAAAAAAACAATTAAAGTTAATTTAAAAATGAAAGAAAATAGAAAATCTAAAACATTATAGAGATTCCTATAATTAGTTAAAATTAAGAATAAAATAAAATAAATTAGTCTTTTTAAAGTTTATGTGAAAGTAAGAAAAATAATAATTATTTATATACTTCAAATGATGATAGTGATTTTAATATTAAGGAAGAAGATTAATTAAATAATAATTTGTGTTATAAAATGAACAAATTAGATAGTTCAGTTTAATTATAGTAAAAAAAATAAAGGCTTAAATATTAACTAGGAATTATAAGTAATTCAAATGTTTATAAGTAATATTCATTTACTTAATAAATGTCTTAAAATAAAAGTATTCAATATATTTTAGAATATAATTAAGTAATTGAAAATAATATATTTAAAAAAAATGTTTAATAATAGTAAAAGCAATTTTAATAGATTAATGAAAATGAATAAGAATAATATAATTCAACTTATAAAAGTAAATTTAAAGAAAATTTAAATGAGACAGTAAATAAAAGTATATAAATTGCCAAATATATAAAAATAAATAAACATTATTTAAACTAATGATATAACATATATATATATATATATATATATATAAATATATATATATTTATATATATATATATATTTATATAATATATATATATATATATATTATATTTATTTATTTTGTATTTTTTTTCTTTTTATTCTTTAATTTTTTTTAATAAATATTTTAATTTATTTTTTAAAAATATAATCTATTTCTGTTTTTACTACATTCAACATTAAAATTTAAAATTAATTTTTTTTTTTAATCTTTTTACAATTTTTTTTAATAAAATTTTTTTATCTATTTTTATTTAATAATTATATTTTTTTTTTTTTACAAAATAATCATAACATTAATTTTTTTTTTTCATTTTTTTTATTTAATTTTATAAATTTTATTATAAAATATAATAATTATTATCAATTAATTATATTTTTTTGTATACTTATATATATTTATTTTTATTACATTATAAGAGTATTTATTCAAAAATATTATAATGTGTAAAATTTTAACTATAATTGTTTTTATTTTATTTATTTTTATGAAAAAAAATTATTTGCAAACGCATTTACAATTTCTAATTTTTTGTTATTATTTAATAATATTAATTTAATGATATATTATATTTTTTTTAAAGAGATATATAATATATTTAAATAATGAATTTTCTTAACAATAAAAATATCTATTTTTTTATTATAATAAAAATAGTATTAAAAATAATTATTTATAAAATTTAATTATATTAATTTTTAAATAATAATTTACATTTTTTATATTATTTAATTTTTAATAAATAAAAAAAAAACTTAATAATAACAAAGAATAATTATTTATAAAAGTCTTTTTTTATTTTTAATATTAATAATATATTTTTAATAAAAAAAATCTTTAATAATTTTTTTTATTATTATTAAATAAAAATAATAAATAAAATATAATATTTATGACAATGAAAAAAAAAAAAATAACAAAAAATAAACTTATCATAAAGAAAAGAATTTATTTAAAATTTCTAATTATTTTTAAGTATTTTATCTAGGAAACTAAACTGCAAACTCAACATACAAATCTCCAAAAGAAAGACCTTATAAATGAACAGGCATTCCCTCCCCTTCAACCCTCATAACATCTTTAGGCTAAGTAACACCTATTTTTTCTATTTTAACATAATGTGAATCTAAATGTTAGATTTTTTTTTTAAATCCAAGTAATGCTTCTTCCATTGTAAGTGTTATAGTTAAATATAAATCATTTTTTTTTCTTTAAAAATGAGAATGTGGTACTTATAATATATAGAAAATTAAATCCGAAGATTTTTTATCTATATATTCATCTGCTTATCCATCAAATTTCTTTTAAAACAAAAAAATATTACAAAAAAAAAATATAAATATATATATATATATATATATATATATATATATATATATATATATATATATATATATATATATATACAATTTATTATTTTTCATCAATTCCTTTTTCGATTTCAAAGCTCATTTCTTCTTGACTTAAAACAGTCTTTTTTATAAAAAATCGTATATATATATAAAAAATAGTATACTTTTTATCCTCCACAGACATTACATTATTTAAAAACAATAGTTCCCCTACCTTAGCATTTGTTACATTACATTTAATATTATTAATAATATCCCGGAGCTACTTATTATTTTTCGATTGTGAATCCTTTTCCATCACAAACATTGCAAGTTTTCATATCTTCAAATGAAAAAGCACCTGAACCTCTACAATGTGAACATATTTATTATTTTTAATAATTAACTTTAATTTCGCTTCCATTATATATATCTTCTAATGTTACTGGGATTTTTATATTTGCATCTTTCCCTTTTTATTCTTCCATACCATTGCTTTTACTTCCTTAGTATTTTAATACACCTTCTTCTCCTTAAGCGTCATATATTCGACGCATATCACGGTCTTTTAAAACTTCGTAGGCTACATTTATTTGTTAATATTTCTCAGTTGCTTTTGGGTCATCGCTTTTATCAGGATGGTGTTATATGGATAATTTTCGGTAGGCTTTTTTTATTTGGTCTTCTGTAGCGTTAGGTGAAACTCCGAGAATTTAATAGTATTTTCGAGCTTATGTTATAGTTATTATTAAAAATAATATTATTTAAAGGATATATTTCATTTTTTTTTTTTTTTTTTGGATTTTGTTAATTATAATTTTTGTATTTTTCTAAATTTCTATTAATATTTTTTATTTATTTTTTTGTTAAAAAAAAAAAAGGAAAATTTAATTGATTTTTATTTATAAAAGATTAGTATATTGTATATATAAAAGTTTAATTTTTTTGTTTAAAAATGGTGATAAAATTATGAAAAAATAAAATAAAATAAGATAAAATTATATTTCATAAAAGAATAAATTTTATATTAAACAAATAATACAATTTTCAATTTATTTTGAATTTCTATAAATATATAATAATCAAATTTTTATTAAAATAAAATGCACAAAATTCTATAAAATTTAAAGAAAAAAAGTAATTTTATAATAAAAAAGAATATTTAAATATATATTATAATTAAAATGAAACAAAAAAACTTTTAAAAACACTCATTTAAACAATAAATATAAAATAAAATCCAAATATATGCATTTTATAATAAAATAAAACAATAAAGTAAAGATCCAATAAAATTAGAAATAAATAAAAATAAAGAATAAAATCATTTTTGATTTTTGAAAAAAATATTGTTAACAAAATAATCTAATTATATATATAAATTGAAAAAATAAATAATTGATTAAAAATATGTTATTTATTTCAGTTTTAAGAAATAGAATAACTTAGTATAAAAAATATAGATTTAAAACCAAATTTAGATAATTTCTTGAATAAAAAATATATATAGAAAATCAAACAAAAATTAAACTTTTAATAATAAAAATAAAATTAATTAAGGAATTTAAAGTAAAAGAAATTATTAAATATATTTTTTTTTAAAAAAGTTTGCATTAAATAAGATTTAAATATAATATGTTGAATATAAAATTAAAAAATTTAATTATATTTTAATATATAGATAAAACATATTTAATATATATATTAGATTATTTATTTTTATAAATATATAATAAATTTAAATGATATTTTTTTATTTTATGTATAATTTTATTTAAAATCTCAATATATAAAATAAAATAAAAGCTAATAGTAAATATGAATATTTTTTTTTGTTTATTAATTTTTATTATGATAATATTTATTCTTTAATTTTTATTAACTTTATCAAAATTTAATAGGAATTTCAATAATATAAATATTTTAAAAAATATAAAAACAACAATATAACAAAAAATATAATTAAAGTTAATATATAAATATATATATATATATATATATATATATATTTATAAATATCAATAATAAGAATAAAAATAAGTTGGATATTAAGAATATCTATTTAAAATATGCTTTATAGGTAACCCTTCAGTCGGTAAAACATCTCTACTCTTCAGAATATCAGATAATACTTTTAATAGAAATATGATAACTACAATAGGAGCTGATTTTCATATACATTAAATTTAAGTAAATGATAAAATCGCTATTTTATAATTATGGGATACGTTTGGTTAGGAAAGGTTTAATAACTCACATGAATTATCATTTGTTTATTATGATAGAATGAGTAGGTGTATTCTTGTTTATGATATTACTAATAGAAAATCTTTTAACGATTTAAAAAAATGGATAAATAGTATCAACTAATATGAATGTATAAAGATGGTTTTGGGAAACAAAACAGATTTAGAAGATTAAAGATAAATTAGCTTTAAAGAAGGACTTTAATTTTGTAAAGAAAATAATTTAGAATTTACGGAAGTTTCAGCTAAATAAGAAAATAATGTTAGAGAGTTTATTTAATAGTTTACTCATAGATTAGTTTAATATTAAAATAATATGACTGGAGTAGATTATATTTCTAAAAATAATATGGAAATTAAAGGTAAGTTGGACATTAAAAATAAAAGGTAAGGTTGTTGTTATTGAAAATTATTTTTTTTATTAGTTTTAAATTATTTATTTAAATTATGTATTTATATTAATATTTATTTTAATATATATTTATATATTAATAATATGCTCATTTTTTTTTATTGTTTTAGAGTTTTTATGAATATTAATATTAACAAATAAATACTTTAAAAAATAAAATATTTTTCATATAAAAAAAAAAATATAAAAAAAAATTAATTTTTTTTTTTTTTATATTAAAATATTTTTAAATAGATATATATATATATATATATATATATATATATATATATATATATATATATATATATATATATATATTTATTTTTTTTAAAAAAAGTTAAAAATATCATTAATAAAAGCAAGTATTATATAAAAAAAAAATGAATGACTTTCAATATTAATAATATACATTAAAAAAGCCTATAGAATTAGAAAGAAATGCAAAACTATAAGATTTATGTCCAGAAGATAAACAAAAAATTGGTGAATTAATAAAAAAGTTAGCATAAGAATAATAAGAAAAAGAATAATTAAAATAAAAACTTGAATAAACTCAAGAAGTATATAATAAAAAAATAGAGTAAATATTATAGCAAAATCAAGAAGTAGCTTAAGATTCTTAATTAATTTAATAGAAATTTTAATAATCATTATAATAAATAAAATAATTCGAATAAAAAATAAATAAGAGTGTGAAAAATAATATTTAAAATGAAAAATTAGATGAAAATTTAGAAGATAAAAAAAAATTATAAATAAAATTCCTTTAGGAAAAAAATAAAATTCCTAAGAAAAAAAGAAAGAAATTCCATTTTAAAAGCAAAATAATATATAAAAATAGGATTTTAAATAAAATAATGATGAAAAAAGTAGTTTAGATTGCTAAAAGGAAGAAAAAATTAATTAATTAAATAATTAAATTTCTAGTAATAGTAGTAGTGATGATGAAGAAATCGAAATTGCTAAAAAATGGATTAGTTTAAAAAAATAATAAATATAGAAAAATAATGAATGCTTATAAAATAAAAATAATTAATAAAAAAATAATGGCTTTTATAATAATTAATATTAAAATAATTTAAATTAAAAAAATATAATAGAGGAAAATAATAATAATTCGTAATAAGGCAATTCTTTTTAATAAAAATTAGATAATTAATCTTTAGAATAGAAAGAAAGATATAAAAAATAAGAAATAGATAACGATAATTAAGAAGAAGAAGATTAGGAAGAAGAATTTTATTAATAAAATAAAAAATAGATTAAAAATAAATAATTTTTTAATAATGAAAAAAAAAAATTCTTTGAATAAAAAAAAGAAGAAATATAGTAAAATAAATTTTTTTAAAAAAAGAAAATTATAGATTCTTAAAAATAAGTTAATTAAAAAATTAGTTATTCACCTTAGAGAAATTCAAATGCAATTAATTGTAATAAAAAAAAATTTTCAAGTGAAAAAAATAATATTTATTAAGGAGAAAAATAAAATAATGAATAATATGAAAACATTATAAAAAACAATCAAAAACATGATGAAATAAATAAAGAAAAATTAAAAATATAATTGAAAGAAACATTATTTTAAATAGACGAAAATGAAGCAAAAAATCTATTAAATGAGATATTTTAAGATTAAAATATGTTTTCTAATTCATCTATATGTGATCAGACTAATTATTAATCTTGTAATAGATGTGAAAGCGATTAATATATAAAAAAAAATTAATAAACTTAAAATTATAAATAGTCAATTAAATTAATTAAAAATAACGATTTAAATAATAATAATAAATACATTATATAATAATAATAATAATAATAATAATAATAATAATAATAATAATAAGAATTATAGTAAAGTTTGAAGATGATGATATTATTTATTTATTAAATCGAGATTGTTATGATGATAATTTATTATAACTTATAACTCAAATTAATAATTAATTATGATTCAAATATATATTTTTTATGTGTTTTTTTTATTTTTTATATTAATAGTAATAGTTATAATATATTATTGTGTATTATTATTTATTATTTTTATAATTTTTTTTATAATATTTTTTTAATTTTATAAAAATAAAATAAAAAAATCAATAATATAATGAATAGTCATAGAATATAAAATTCAATATATATATTATAATAATTAAATGAAGAATTAACCTAAAAATAAAATAGTTAAAATCTGAAAAATCTTATTACAATAAAAATAATTAAAAATTAGATAGTTTTTAAGAAAAATCTTAGTAAATATTATATTAATTAAATTAAGATAAAATAAATTTTATAAATGAATGTTAGCAAGTTTAAAAAGAAATCAAAGATTCGTAAAAATAAATGTAATAGTATTTAGAAAATAAATAATATTTAAATATATGATAATATATATTATAATAATATTTTTAATAAAAAAAAATATAAAAATAAAAAAATTGATTTTAGTTAATACTCATTATTTTATAAGTTTTTATAATATATTAATTAATTATATTATAATTATAAAAAAGAAAAAATAAATTATATATAATTTATTAAATAATTTAAATACATTAAATGGAATTTTTTTTAAATATTTAAACAAAAAACAATTAAAAAAAAAATTAAATAAATATGTATGTATAATTAAAAATAAATAAATAAATTAAAGATAAATAAAGTGAAATTACATAAAAAAATAGAAAAAATAGAAAAAAATATAAAAAGAAATAAAAAAAAATATAAAATAATAATAAAAAAAAAATTATTAAATTTATAAGATAATAATATTGAAAAAAATATTTATATATTTAATTATTAAAAAATTTTTAATATTTATAATATATAATGAATGAAAAAAAAAAATTATAAATAATAAAATTTAAATATAAAAAAATATATATAAAAAATATACATATATAATTAAAAAAATAAAAATATAAATATAAAAAATAAATAAAAAAAATAAATAATGAAAAAATGTAAAAATGTAAATATATAAAATATAAATATATATATATATATATATATATATATATATATTTATATTTATATTTATTTAGATATATAATTTTTCTATACTTTTATAAAATAAAATTTTTTTATATTTTTTTTTAACTATTATATTATTTACTATATATTAAAATTTTTTTATAATAAT